TCCCTCCGGCGTCTTGCGTTGGCTCGTTCTTGAGCCCATGGCGGCTCCGTGTACTGGTCAGGCATCAGGCTGAGGGTCTGTCCACCGCACTGCATGGTGGCTCCGATCCTGCAAAGAAAATCCATGCCTAGGAGAACGTCGTCAAGGACTTCGCTCATCACTAGCAGGACGGTTGGAGCGCGTTTGCTCCCCAGGTGTATATTGGCGGCGAGGGCCCGAGTCAGGTCCCGGCATGTCCCGTCGGCCAACTTGACTTGTGTGCGAATATCTCGCGTGTTGTCCGCGTTGCCTAGCTCTCGGGCTAGGTCCTCGCTGATGAAGCTATGCGTAGCTCCGGTGTCCAGGGTGGCCACGAATCCTCGCCCTTCCATGGTGATGGCGGCGCGAATCCGTCCCTGGTGTTGGTGGAGGGTTCCTCCTACTGGCTGCGTGGGTGAACAGCTGGTACTCCGGCAGCATGTTGTCGTAGACGCGCTCCAACTCTCGGTCCGGAGAGAATCCAGCTCGGCGCATCTGCAAGCGAAGATCCACTAAGTATTCCTTAAACGGCTCGTTGGGCCGCTGCAGGTGCGCGGTGGCAGGAAAAAATCTAGAAATTCACGGCGAACCTCGACCCAGCTGGCCTGTTGGAGTCCGCTCGTGCGGAACCAGCTCTCGGCCCGGCCGGACAGCAGCACCACCAGGGCTTGCGCCACATATCTCCGGTCGATCCGGCAGATATCGGCACGCTCCTCGATGTGCTCAATGAACCCGAGTGGATCCGTCGTTCCGGACGTTCCACTTCGTCATCCTGTCGATCAGGATGGCTCCCAAGCCGGCGTCGCTAGGATGATTCACGGATCTCGGAGGTTCTTCCGCCTTCGGGCGTCGCCCTGTGGCTGGGGAAGTACCACGCGGAAGGAAAAGCGAAGGTGGTACCAACGATGCCGATGTGGTCGGTTCTGGTGATATGAAGGCCGGATCCAAAGGTATGGGTGACTTCACTTCGCCCGTGGGTGCGTTCCCGAACCGGCGCTCCAGTTCTTCGAGTCGATCTTGGATTTCCTCGGAATTATCCGCTCGTCGTGAAAAGGCGATGAGTCGAGCACGCTGCTCGTCCACGGTGCCGCTTCGATCGAGCCCGAACTCGCCGAGAATGGCTTCCAGCTCCATCTTTTTACGATAGCTAATAAACGAATAAAACCGCTTTTTTGGTTTGATTATCTACTACTATTTTCTGTCAAAATTCAAATAAGTCAAGGCAACCTATAGAATGCGAGTAAAAAATTTAAATTTATATTATATATAAAAAGATACATATTTACTCGCATTCTATAGGTTGCCTTGACTTATTTGAATTTTGACAGAAAATAGTAGTAGATAATCAAACCAAAAAAGCGGTTTTATTCGTTTAATAAATCCAATAAAATGTCCTCATGAAAACGCTTTAAACCGAAATTAAAGAATACAATGAACAATAGACTCAATGAATATTTAAAATTAGTTCCATATAAGATTTAATTCTCAGAATTGTTTTTTCATCACAGAAATGTTGAAAATTTTGGGAGTTTCAACTTTGGCGTCGAATTCCAAAGACATGAGCAATGGTCCACGATTGGGACTATTTTTTAGTAGTGCCGTGATGTATTGAGAGTAGCTCCTACCGAAAATAATAAAGGTAAGTCCAATTATATAGGCCACGTAATTCAAAATGTCGGCAAACATCGGTTTTTTGTATTCTTAGGTATACCGCGGAACCTGTAGGTGATGGAAAATAATTTTGTATGGGACTTTTACTCAGAAGCACCCAAATATCATGGAAAACTTGAAATGGTTCGTGGAAATTTTTGGCTGTGTACCTGTGTTATTTTATATTATTTTTCGATTTTATTTCGTGTACTAGGCTTCTGCGTTTTTGAAATCGCGCAGGATCCGCGTTGTTTTTAACTCGGCTACAGGATCACGCAGGATCCTCTGGGTACCCGTGGTATTTTTTTGTTGTATTAAAGGATCTTCCCGTTGAGTTCTTTGAATGCGACGGCGAAAGAATTTTTCTCGGCACTGTCCTTGAGGGATACTATTAATTTCCGAAAAAAAATATTCAAGTGTCCTCGAAGGATGTTCTTGACCACGGCGGAAGGATCTTAGTCGTTTGCGAGAAAAATATTTTTGAGACGGCGGAAAACTTGAGCGATGTGTTTATTATGATTGTTCGTCGGTGATTAACTTCTGTTGACCAGCTTTATTTATTGCTGCCCACGGTGGCAGCGGCGCAGCAAGGTGATAGAACGATAGCGGCAGAGAGCGTCCCTCTGCCGGCGTTGACGCGGGCGGAGATGCAGCGAAGCAAAGTTATGGCGGGAATATTTCTCGGGCGAATGCATGCAAAGCGACAGAGTGATAGCGACAGAGAGCGTCCCTCTGCCGGCGTTGACGCGGGCGGCGACGTCAAATTTCAAGCGGTGCAGCGAAGCTAATTTTTGGCGGGAATATACCGCGTGGCGGGTGGAAAATTTTATTGTCTATTTCTCTTTGTATTATGCTTCGCCGCTGCCGTCTGTCGCCGAATTGGCGCGACCTATTTGCACGGTGAAAAAAAACGTGGCCGTTGCCAAATATTCTTCCAATAAATATATTTATATATTTTTTTCCATATATACATATATATTATTATATTTTCCATATATATATATATTATTTTTTCTCCCTGTACATATATTATTATATTTTTTTTCTATGTATATATATTTTTCTTGACCAAAAAAAAATATCGGCTGGCGGGGCTTTAATCCGCCAAGATGACCAACTTTCCGTCCTGGGCTGTCCCTGCTCGGGCGCCATGTAAGGAAGCGTCTGGGCGGCCGGGGTGATCCTCAGCGGCCCAGAGTCCCCTCACAAAATTTATTATTTGTGAGACACCCAGAACGGAGAAGCGCGGATAATTTTCTGGCCAGCTAATGGGGAAGGAAATGGAAAGGAAATATTTGCACGTGATTATTTGGCCAGGGAAAATGGGCGACTCGGAATAATCCAGCGGTCAAGCCCGCGTCCGCGCCCGGAATTATCCAGCGGCGGGACGAGCGACCCGGAATAATCCAGCGGCCACGCCCACGCCCACGCTCGGGTGATCCAGCAGCGGGGCGCCTTCGGGGCAGGACAAAGGCTCGGAGGAATCCAGCAGCCAAGGCCTGTGTCCACGCTCGGAAGAATCCAGCAGCGGGACCACTGACTCGGAGAAAATCCAGCAGCCAGCCCCGAATCCTCGCCCGGAAGAATCCAGCGGCAGGATTGCTCAGAGGGCTCGGAATAATCCAGCAGCCACGCCCACGCCCACGCTCGGAAAGATTTAGCAGCGCGGCGTCCGTTGTGACAGGGCAAAGGCTCGGAGAGATCCAGCAGCCGATGCCTGCGTCCACGCTCGGAAGAATCCAGCAGCGGGACAGTTGGGACAATGGGAAAAAATCCAGCAACCAACCCCAGATCCTCGCCCGGAAAAATCCAGCGGCGGGATGGCTCTCTGGTGGGCAAGGGGAAAGGGGAAAAGGGGAGCGGCGGCCTCGCGCAGCAAGTCCGGGCTCGGAAAAATCCAGCAGCCACGAACTCCTGTTCCCGTTCGTCTTCCGCCCGCACCCGGAATTATTCCGATGCTACGGGGAAAGCAGGAGGGGAATTGGTCACTGCCGGCGAGGGGCGCCGGCCCGCGAACGAAGGCAGGGAAAACGCACAATTTGGTTTAAGCACATGTTTTCTAATTAGGTAATTTTATTGATAAAATACCTCCTGGCGGCGGGTGTGGGATAAATTCCCAATATATTTGCTGGCCGGCGGCCATGCTCACCCTGTCTGGATGTCCTTCGAGGTCCTGCAGGATAATTTGGTCTCGACGCGGACACGCGGTTTTGGCACTTATACTTTTCACTTGCGGAGCAACACGACTTGCGCGATTAAGAATTTTGCGAGGATTAAATTGACCTAATTTCCGCAGTGTGGCCGTGACCTAATTCCTGCCGGCAGCGCTGCCGCGATCGATCTTGGCGTTGCCAGATGCTGATACTATCGCCGACAGCGTTGCCACTTGCGCGCGTAACTTCAAAGCTTAGTGCTCGTTTTGAACTTCCCTTCGCGGGGTTTATTTGGCTTCATGCCGTTGGCTTCATGCCGGGTGATGTGTGTGTGTGAGTGTGTGTGTGTGTGTATTGTAAGGAAGTTCTAAGGCTGGGGTAGGAGTGGGCGGTCCTGGAAGGAATGCACTCCTCGCAGGCCGTGAGCACCTGCGACATCACCGAGTTAGCCATTGCTTCAGGGTCGCCCGTCGCTTCCACTCTCTGCATCCTAGACGCGAAACTTGGGTGTCGAGCGAATCCACCCTGAAGCACTTGCGCTGCTGCGCGGGGGGAGGTGGTGGCCGTGTGTTCCCGGCGTCCAACGTGGTAAAGATCGCCGCATGGTCGCTTGCCGTGTACACCCTGCTGAGCATCCACGTGCACTGCCCTGCTCTCGACCGACTGGCGAAGGTGAGGTCTACTACAGAACCAGCTCCCCCCGGCTGAAGGTGTGTTCCTGTCCTACGTTGAGTAGGGCCACATCCAGCGTTGAGAGCACTTCTAATAGGGTTCTGCCACGTACGTTTGTGTTTGGGCTACCCCAGTCGACTGCCCAGGCGTTGAAATCGCCCGCTAGCAGAGTCGGAGAACGGCCTCTAGCATCAGCAGCGAGCCTGTCAAGGATAACAGCGAACTCTGCTAGCGAGAGGCTGGGGGCGAGGTATATGCTGTAGACCCACCAGCCTCCAGCTTTGGCACGCACGAAGCCTTTGTCCGCGAGGACATTCTCCAGCCGCAGGGGCGTGTTTCCGCAAACCCACAGAGCTGCCTTGCCGGATCTATCCACGGCCCAATTGTGATTGCGTCCGCCTCTGTACGGCTCGCTTAGCACAGCAAGCTCGGCTCCGCTTTCGCGGACCGTTTGCGACAGCAGATCTTGCGCCGCCGCACAGTGATTCAGATTAATCTGAATCACTTTCATGCCCTGTGCTTATGGCCTTCTCTGGAGGACGCCACCAGTGGGCAGGAGCGGCTTCCGGCCTGGTGCCTCGTGTCCTTCCTTTTAAGCTGCTCGCACTTGAAGCAGTTCGCTGGGTTCTGGCACTCTGCTATCTTGTGCCCTTCTTTCCCACACTTAAAGCAGGCCTTGCTCCTATCTACGGGACTCCGACACCTGCTGGCCGTGTGGCCCGTGTCCAGACACCTGTAGCACTTAAGTTGGTGCTCCAGCTCCTTAATCCGGCACCTGGTCCATCCGACCTTCACCTTGCCAAGGTTATTGAGGGCGCCTGCAAAACCCGCCGGAACCGTGAAGGTTGCGGACTGGCTTCCTGTGGCCAAGGCTCGTAAACCTTTAACGGTCACCGAGTTCGAGGGGAGGTTTGCCTGCTTGACCAGCGCATCCTCTAACTCCTCCTTTATTGTTAGCTCGTCAAGGTCCCAAATCCGGAAGGAGACCTGGGGCGTCAACGTGCGGATCTTGGCTCCAGCTCCGAGGGCTTTGCCAATCAGATCCCTGATGCCACTGGTTTGAGCCTCCGAGTTGCGCTTGATCTCCAGCAACAGCTCGCCTTTGGCTGTCTTCCTGACCCTGGAGACGCTGTCGCTAACTTCTTCCATCTTGGATGTGGAGCGTGGCTCCGTCGATGTGTTTCGTTGATCAGAGCGTGGCTCTGAGTGATGTGCCGTGGATGGCTCTTCGTGGTTGGAGTGTGACTCCGTCGATGTAATTCGCTGATCAGAGCGTGGCTCTGAGTGATCTGCCTTGGATGGCTCTTCGTGGTTGGAGTGTGACTCCCTCGTCGTTCTTCGTTGGTCAGAGCGTGGCTCTGCGGGCTGGTCCCGTGGGTTGGAGCGTGGCTCCCTTCGCTGGTCAGAGCGTGGCTCTGTCGTTGGTCTTCGCTGGTCAGAGCGTGGCTCTGTTGTTGGTCTTCGCTGGTCAGAGCGTGGCTCTGTCGTTGGTCTTCGCTGGTCAGAGCGAGGCTCTGTTGTTGGTCTTCGCTGGTCAGAGCGTGGCTCTGTTGTTGTTCTTCGCTGGTCAGAGCGTGGCTCTGTCGTTGGTCTTCGCTGGTCGTTCGGTCGCAGTCGGAGGGTCTGCCCTATATTTTATTTATTTTATTTCGATTTATTTTAATTTTATTGATTTATTTTAATTTTTATTGATTCATTTTCATTTTTATTGTTTCCGTTTATTTATTTGCATTAATTATTATTATTATTTTTTTTTTTTTTTTTATGAAATTTGTTATTATGTTCTCGGCGGCAGGATCTCGCAGGATTCTTTGAGGATTCGTGGGCGTCCTTAGCTGGGTTAAAGAATAGTGATAATCTTCCCGGTGTGCAAGGATACGACGACGAGTTTTGATGCGTCGATCTTTCGAGGTGTAAGGTCTGCGACGATGTGTATTCAACGATGGTTTTAAGAGGGTATTAAAGACTGCGAGCGATGTGTATTCAAAGGGCTGATCTTGCGAAGTGTCTGCGAGCGATGTGTATTTAATGAGTGTGTGTCCCTCCTAGCGAGGGTCCCCCGTATATATTAATCATGCTTAAGCTAGCCGACGCTGCTGCCGCGGGCAGAGCAGAACTGGAGATGTGTGTGGGCCACGTGTGTGTGTGCTTGAAGCGTCCCTTTGCCGGCGTTGACGCTGGCAGTGACGTTGACTACGATTTCTGGCTTAACTGTACCGCTTGTTTTTGGCGACGATGCGTATGCACCAATGGAAATTTACCACGCGTTTTTTTTTCTATTCCCTTTTCTCCTGTACTTTGCCGATTTTTTTGCCGGCGACCGTACGTCGCGACACGTGTGACAAAAATTTCTTACACTCGCAAAAACGAATGCGCGCTGGTCGAAAAATATGTTTATGAAATATATTTCCTGACATTAAATTTTCTATCCTCGTCATTTAGAAAACTAAATTTCCCTGTTTTTGCCTTTGTGAAAAATTTATTTTTATATATTTTTTTACTAAAAAATTCTGTTTTCGGCCAATGGGGCTTTAATCCACTGAGAAAAATTATCCTAGCTGTCCTGACCGGTCCCTGCTCCGGGCGCCATCTGTAAGGATGTGTCTTAGGCCGGGGTAAACCTCAGCGGCCCAGGATTCCTCTCCAGAAATATTTATATTTTAGAGACGGCCAGGACATGGACGCCGAATTTTTATTGAACTTTCTAGGGGCGAAATGGCAGCGAAAAGGGGCTCGTTTTCAAAAGGGGAACTCTGGCTTCGGGAAAATGGGAATCTTGGACGGTCACCCTGGCGATGGCCAGGTGCTCCTCCGTTTTCCTGCGCCCGCTCGGTTGCCCAGCAGCGGCGACTCTTTCGATCGGCAAAATCTCCGCCGCCCGGGATGACCCAGCGGCGATGGCGGGCAAAATGCAGATCGGAAGGGAAAGGGAGAGGGGAAGGGGAAACCTAAAACGCGCGATCACCCTGGCGATGGCCAGGTGCTCCTCCGTTTCCTGCGCTCGCCCGGTTGCCCAGCAGCGGCGACTCTTCCGATCGGCAAAATCTCCGCCGCCCGGGATGACCCAGCGGCGATGGCGGGCAAAATGCAGATCAAAAGGGAAAGGAGAGGGTAGAGGGGAAAATCGTTGAGCACGTGCCGGCGGCGATGAACTCGTAGCTCGGGAGAACCCAGCAGCCCCGAAGCCCACGCCAGATCTGTGCCCGGGAGAGCCCAGCGGCGACAAATCCCGCTCCCGTCCCGCTTCTCCGGCCCGGAGCTTGCCCAGCGACCACGCGGAGTTGGTGCGGGAGAACCCAGCCACCAGCTCGGCGAGTGAGTGAGCGGGAGGGGAACACTTTGGCACGCGTAAGAATAAGGGTTGACTGTTGCTACGCGGAGTTCGGTGGGAGAGAGAGAGAGAAAGAGATACGACTTTGATCTTCATTTTTATTGCTTAACTATTTTGTACATTTATTCCTAACTTTGGCTACGGCTACAATGCCCTGCCTGGCCCTACGCCACACTCCAAGAATCTGCCCTCACATGGCACTCGGCCGGCTCACCTGCTATTTTCGGTGGGCTGGGACACGTGTCCGGCAGCGAGGATCTGAGTTAACACTCGCGGGTCCTTTTGGACTTAGTCGGATTGGAAATTATTTCCACGTGTCCTTTTGGACTTGTCGCCCGCGTCGGGAGGTAAGCGTACTGTTCGCCTTCGAAGCTGCCAGAGAAGAGATCGCGGTCGCAGCTTGCAAAGCCCTTGTCGCCTCGTCTCTGCCAGAAATGTCCGGGCAGCGCAGCTTTCGGCCGTCGGCTTTGTTATTGTTATTGTTTATGTTTTGATCGGCATGTAAATACACACGACCAAAACGTAAACACGCACGATCGTCGGAGGGGAAATGTCGCTGTCTCTGCCGCTTTTCGCGTCGGCAGCGGGAGAGGGAAATGTCTTCAGCGCGGTCGCTACAGTCCGTGTTGGAAAAATGTATACGCCTGTGCGTTGCGGTTTTTAATCTAAATCTAATTCGGCCCTTCTTGGGCAAATTAGCTTTGGGCTTCATGCCCGCTTAAATGTACAGTTGTGTTTTTTTTTTTTTTTTTTTTTTTGTATTCGATATATGTTTATTACACTTACAATAGACCTACACTACATATACACATAGTTGTCTTTACAGTTACAGAAGAATTTGAATCGGACGCCCAGCGGTACCGCCGCCTGGCATTGCTTCGTGGGCGCTGTGACCCCTACTCCGTCTGCTCCTTTCGCCTTCGCTCCTGCTCCCTGAGAGACTTCATGACATCCGCGGCGAATGTCGCTGCAGCCTCCCACACACACTGGTCTGCCAACATCAACGGCACCAGTGTCTCTGGCAAGATACCGGACCCTGCTACCGCCTCCAACTTCTGACGCTCGTGGTCAAACCGGTGGCACTCGAACAGCACGTGCCGCGCGTCCTCGACGACGCCGGAGCCGCACACTGGGCACCAGTCCTCCGTCTCGTGGCCAAATCGCTTAAGGTAGCTGCGGAAGCAGCCATGACCGCTGATCACCTGGGTGAGGTAGAAGTCTACCTGCCCATGCGACCTCTCTACCCAGCTCGTAAGGTTGGGGATGAGCGTGTGCGTCCAGCGTGCTGTTTGCGACGAGTCCCAGCGATTCTGCCAGTTCTCGAGGCTTCTCCTTCTGGCGGTAATCTTCGACTCTGCTCTAGTCTGCTGGGTTGCTTCCCTGATCTGCGCGGCTGCGTAGATATCCGCCCTCTCCCGATCGAGCTCCGTCAACGGGACTTGTCCGGCGATGACCAGCGCCGCGTCTTCCGAAATGGTTCGGAAGGCGCACGCGATCCTGACGGCGCACAGCCTATAGGTTGCCTCCACCCCTCGCACGTAGCTTTTTACCTTAGCTGCTTCCGCCCACACTGGCGCTGCATACAGCATCTGCGACGTCACAACCGTCGTGAGCAGTTTCCGGGTTGCTTGCTTCGGCCCTCTGGTGTTTATCAGCATCCTGGATAGAGCTCCCGCGGTTCCGCTGGCCTTCTTGTGCACAAAGTCCAGGTGCTCCTTGAAGCACAGGCGCGTGTCCAGGAGAACGCCAAGGTACCGGATTGCCCGCTGGGACCGTATTGTGGTTCACCGACCCTCACGCTAGCTGTCTCCACCGCTTTTCGACTTGAGACAAGCACCGCCTCCGTCTTGTGGGCCGCCAGCTGCAGCCCTGCGTTCGCTAGCCACGACTCTACAGCCTGCACCGCTGCGTCAGCGTGAGCCTCCACCGTAGCTAGCTCCTTGGCTACCACCACTATGGCGACGTCATCGGCAAAACCAACCAGGATGTACAGTTGTGTGTGTGTGTGTGTGTGTGGGGTGTGGGTGTGTGGTATGGCTAATCCTAACTTACTAATTGCTAAACTTAACTATAAACTTAACTAATATTTACATTATTTACATTATTTAGTGCCCATAGCTGCTTCACATGCCGCAGTCGTCATCACACCCTCCTGCACCGCGGTAATCCATTCGCGACCGCTCCAAGTCCACCTGCGCCAGCCAGGCCTCGACCCGCGGCCACTCCAAGCGGCACGGGCGCCCCTGAGGATCATCCTGATGTGCAGGTGTGTTTCGCTTCGGGCTCAACAGCCGTTCTACTGGGCACAGCCCTCATTGACATTTGCCATTTAGGGTGCAATTTCCAGGCACGAGCCTTAATCGACTCGGGTTACAAGGCAACATTTATTACGGAGAGTCTTTTCAGCCTCGTCAAACATCCGTTCACGACTATCCAAGCCCAAGTCTCGGGCCTGAATCAAACCGTGGCCGCTCAGTCCACGAAACTCTGCCAGTTTTCCATGCGATCGCCCTCCAGACCTGGGCTTCAGTTAGAGACTTCAGCTTATGTTCTTCCGCAGCTGGCCGGGAGTCTGCCCTCGTATCCAGTCCCACGAGATCTTCTTAAGGGACTTTCTGACATCCCCTTGCGGACTTTGAGAGCTCCCAAATCAATGTCCTAATAGGGGCCGACATTCTTCCGTCTATCCTCCTCGGCAACTCCAAGGCTAACATTTGCGGCTCCAGTATCTCCAGCCCAGTATCTCCAGCGGCCCCCCGCAGTGTTTCCGCCTTCTCCACACGAGTTACCTGCTCCCTCGACGACTCATTAGACCAGC